GGGGGGGGGGGGGGGGTGTTGTGGGAGAACTGAGGCCCCAGCCTCAGGCTGCTCCCCCAGCCCCTGTGGGTCCCCCGGAAGCCAGGTGGTCTGAGAGCAGAGCCTCTACATGGAGGTGGCCAGTCTTGGAGCATGCAGTTTGGACATCTGCCCAGGTGTGGAGTGTGAGGTCGGGGTCAGGAGCACACAGGCAGCCTGGGATGCTCAAGGGACCTCACCCTGGGAGGCAGACGCCTTTCTGGGCCAGGCCATGGACTTCCTGTGGCCCCTGGGGCATGCAGGAGGCCAGGGCTTTAGTTAAAAGTTTTAATGTAGTTCCCAAATACATTTCATATGACAATCTTACATAAATGTTCCAAAACACATGGGCGTTATCTGGTTTTACTTGTCACTAGTTGGCTAAGGCTTAAAGCAGAGAAGTGTGACCGGATCTCTTGGGAGGGTCTCTGGTGTCTTCCCTGGCTCAGGCTTGCTCGGGGGCTGGGCAGTGCCAGCCAAAGACCCTGGAGGTGTGGGCAGCACAGCTGGAGAAACGAGGCCTTCTCTTCAACTCTCCAAGGGTGGGACAGGGTGGGCGGTGCCGGCTGGCTCTTGACCACACTCCTGGGTGGGGGTGGGCATGGTGCCACTCCTGTGCGTGCTGCGTGTGTGTGGGACAGCCTGCTGTCTGGCCCAGCCCCCTGGCTCCTCAGTGAAGTCCTGGCTAGGGTCGCCCTCTGCCTCCTACAGAGGCCCCCAGCCCTGGAAAGTTTTGGGGGCAGTGATGCCAGTGTTGGGAAATGAATGGCCAACAGCAGGAAGCAGGTTTTTGCCCGGGTGCCTGATGATGCGTGAACCACATGATGTGGACAAGGAGGATGATGGTAGGGGACCCTGGGGACCCTTCCAGGGATCTTTTCCCAGACAGGCACTCTCCAGATCTAGGCCTGATAGGCCCAACGCCTCAGTACCCTATGACTTGGTCTGGAGGAAACCAGGGTGAACAGTGGGGGCCTGGTGACACCCTCTCCGCCAGCTCAGAGGCCAGGACCACAAGAACAGGGACCTCGAAGGAGCTGTGTCTGCTCAGCGCACCAGAGCATCTTAAGCTAAGAAACCAAAAACAAAGCCTTTGAAAATAAAAAAAAAATAAAATAAAATCTGTAAAATATAAACCCCAAATCAGAATAGGGGAAACGGGAAATAAAAATAGTAGTTAACGAAATGTCCAACAGGCCCAGTGTTTACACTTCTGTGAGCAGACCCCATGGCCTGGGCTAGGGGTCCCAGGCCTGAGACAAGGGACCTCGGCTGGTAGGAAGGGGTGAGCCCTGGGGTGCAGAGGGCCAGCTGCTTCCCACAGGGCAGGACTCCATGACATAGAGGGATGGGTGTGGGCAGGAGGCGGTGGTGAGGCTGAAGCTCCGGCTGGACCCAGAGGCTCACAACACGAGGGGTGAAGAAACCAGGTCTCCCATTCCCAGTGAGAAGCCATGACAAGTCTTAATGTGCCATTTCAATTCAAAGGAGGGCAGGGAAGAAATGTTCTTTTTTGTTTTGCTCATCAATATGATGAGGTCTCGTGTCCCAAGCCACATTCAGGCAGTTCCCGAGTCTGCTTATCAACAGGACGTGCGGGTCCAGACTGTGGCCAACCCGGCGGGGCATATGGTTCCCGGGCCCCACGCCTCGACGCTGCCTGCGGGGAGGGGGCGGGCGGGCGGCGGACAGACGGACAAAGCAGCAGCCTCGCGTGCAGCCAGGCTCCCGGCCGCTATGTGCTCACGGTTGTCTGCCCATCCCCTTCGTCGCCAGTGCCTGTGGGGAAGCAGCGGCCTCTCCATCAGGCCCTGGTCCTGCCCTGGATGGAGTCTGCAATTCCTGGGCCAGGCCACCCCCTCCCAGAGGCCAGCCCTGGGTCAATGACAGCGGGTGGGAGGACCCATGACACCAGCCCACTCAATCCCTCCAGGGCAGGGACTGCCCGGCTCACCAGTGGCTCCTGAGGGAGCCAGGACATCGTCATCATCACTGTCGTCCTCCTCGTTGGATGGGGCGGCCCCAGGCTCGGGGACGGGCACCTTGGCCTCCTGCTCCTGCTCCACACGGCTGCGCAGGGCCAGGATGCGGTGGTGCAGGGCTGCATACAGCTGGCCCGTGTCCTTGGAGCTGGCCTGGGGGAGGGATAGGGGCTGTGAGGCCCCTGAAACCCCAGTCCTCTCCTCTCCTGCCTGTGATGCGGGCAGGAAGTCCCAAGTCCGAAGGCTCAGGAAGTCCCATCCACAAGGCCTTATGGAGGAGGCCTACACCCCCCAGTAGCTGGGAGGATTCCATGGGGTCAGGCAGGTCAGTGCTGGTCTGGGGCTGGGGCGGTCGTCCCTCCACATAGGACACAGGACAGAGGTGACTGACAGCACAGGACTGTTTGCTCTGAACACCTCACCTGATCTCAGCCAACCCCTAACTACTTCTCCAGGTTGGGGAGAAGATGACAACATTGGATCTGTGTCTCCAGAGGCTGGAACAGGGAGGAACCTGACCCTTGTGTCCCAGGCAGCAACCTTGGCCTGTCCCCTCTCCCTACCTCCGTCCTGCCCCACAGTGGCTGATGTCCACAGCTGCAAGGCTTGCCCTTGGGTCTGGGCACTGAGCCTTCTCCGGTGTGGCCCGCACGCCACTACGTCCCCCAGGGGCTGAGCCTGCAGCTGGGCTGGGGCTGCCCCCGCCTCTTTCTTGCACCAACCCAGTCTCCCCCTCCCCCACTCTCCCTCCCATCCTGACTCTGCGTGCTGCATGCTGGACCACAGGACCTGCTTCTATCTCTACCCCCAGAGCATGTATGAAGGTGACACAGTGGAGAAGCACCCCTCAGTCCAGCCCAGTGGTGCCCAGTGCACCGAGGTGCCCACACGGCTGGTGGGACACAGGGTCCAGACACCACATGGTCTCCCTTCTTGGTGGGCTCACAGGTGTTCCGCCCTGTTTAGAACTCTGTGCTTGCAGCTCCTTTTCCTGAGGGCCTGCTGCCCATGTGGGGGCTTACCGAGATCAAGAAGACCTTCACACCCTGGTCCTCGGTGTCCATGGCCGTGATGCGGATACTCTTCTCGCTGGCCTTGTCAATCTGCATCTGGGCCCACAGCTTGGTGTTGAGGATCAGCCTCAGGCTGCCCTGAGTCCGCATCACTGCAACCAACAAGGCCACTCAGCCCTGGCCCCCCTCTCCCCCCCACCCCGTGCAAACAGCCAGCTCAGAGGACACACACAATTGTGAAGGACATGGTACACTGCAGGGGCAAAAGCCCCTGATTCTCCTAAGACCCACCAGACTAAGCAAGACCCCTGACACTGGGGTGGGCCCTGGCACCACCCTGGCTCCCTGGAGTGGGGGCACTTCACCCCCGGCCCCAGAACTGCCTAGGGCCACTGATGCATTTGCGGCTGCAGAGGCCGCATCCAGCGCACAGAGGGCTTTGTCTGGTCCACACAGGTGGGCGCCAGGACAGCTGTTCCCTTGGGGAAGGAGAGATTATACGAGAGCACGAGGCGGGGGTTGCACACTGGCGACACATGCCCTTTTGGCGAGTGACATGAACTGCGAAGGAAGTCGATGACCTGACTGTCCCCACGTGCGGGCCAAGTCTCAGCCCCCACCCTTGGATTTTCTCAGGAGAAAGGTAGAGCAAAACCACTGCTTAGAGCTTCCATCAAGAGGCAGGTGCACGTGCAGTGCTCTGTGGAGGGACATGGGACAGGCCTGGCCTCTCTGGAGTGTGTGATGCCCACCTGTGGGCATGGCTCGAGGCTGGGGGAGAAGGGAAAGGGGCTTGGATAGGTCTCAGCTGCCACCAGCTGATGCCTGAGGCTTGGGGGAGGCGTTGGGGGCTCAGGGTGCTCTGTGCTCTCCATACACACGTTTGAATGTTTCCATGAAAAACAAATCAAGTGGACGTCTGTGGGGGTAAAAAGAGCAATGCCCAGCAGGAGGAACTGTCCTCTGCTCTGTTCTGACCTTGGGAGTGTTTCTGAGTTGAGGTGTGAGAAAACAATGCTTAAAGGGGGCCCCGTGAGCTACTGCTGGATGGGAAACCCACGTTTCTGTAAAGGCCAGAGGACGCTTTGATTTGGGGAGATAAAAGATGAATGTGCACACGTACACACACATGCTGATTTTCTTCAAGTGTGTGTGCGTGCACACATGCTCATTTTTGTAACAAGTACAGTTGTAGGAATAAGATTCATGTATAAAGACAGCCCCAGTATTGTTATCTACAAGAGTGAAAAAAGCAAAATCGGGAACAATCTTAATGTCTGTCGACAGGGAAAAAGTTAAGTACATTGTCAATGGAATATTAATGTAGAAGTTTTTCCCAAAACAATCGTTATTTTAACAATACAAGAACATGTTCATAAAATAGCAAATGAAAAGAGAATACAAAATTATCCTATTTCCTTTAAAAAAGGACCAGAAAACAGGAGGAATGGACTACTAAAAGTTATTAGCAGAGATTTCTCTATTTATAAAGAGATTACAGTTGATGTTTGATTTCCTTTTTTTCCTTTCTACCATAAAACTGCGACTTTTATTGTCAGAACATAAATTTAAAAGTTACTAAATATTTTAATCCACCTTAATCCTAAGTAGGAGAGTCACGGGAGGGCTGGCAGCCAGAGCCAGAGGGTCAGGCCAGCTCCTGAGGGCATCTAGTGGCGGGTTGAGGGGTGTGTGTGCAGGGGTTGAGGGCTCTCCTACGGGGACCCTCTCCTTGGCTCTGACAAGGGCCAAGTTGGGCTGCCTCCTTCATTCCCTCTGGAAACTGCACTTCTGAACCCCATAAGATCCTAAGCCCTCTCCACAGGGACCCCACCACAGCCTAGCCCAGCCTGCCTCCAGGAGGCCTCGGCAGCCCCCTCCTTCTGCAGCTCACCTAGTCGGGACTGTAACGTCCCGTCATCGGTTGATGCCATGTCGTTGAGTCTCAGCAGCCCCCGGCCTCTCTCCACCCACGACTGTGAGGTCTTGTCAAAGACAAACAGCTTACACTGGATCTGGAACACATGTGGGGCCCTCTGGGTGAACAGGGACCCTGTCCAGGTGTACTGATAAGGACAGACCCCCAGGAGTCTCCCTCTAACCCATATGGACTATCAGGTCAGCCAGCAAGGGCCACATCTGGCCCTTGGCCAGTTTTTTGTCCTGTCTCTGAGCTAGAATGTGTCTTACTTATTTTTTTTGGAGGTTGGCTGGTACAGGAATTGAACCCTGAACCTTGGTGTCATCAGCACCATGCTGTAACCAACTAGCCAGCCCTGGTTTCACATTTTAAGAGAGGTATTTTTTTATTAAAAATAATTAATTAATTAATTAATTAAAAAATTAAAACTAAAATTAAAAGAAAAGAAAAGAAACAAATCAAAACCACACAAAACACCACTTGACACCTGCTAGGATGATTATAACCAAAAAAACAGACAATAACAAGTGCTGGGGAGAATGTGGGGAAACAGGAGTCCTCACACCCTGCTTGTGGGAATGTAAAATGGTGCAGCCTATGTGGGAAAAAAAATGGCCTGACAGTTTTTCAAAGAATTAAACAGAGAGCTAGCGCATGGCCCAGAAATTCCACTCCTAGGCAGCAACACGAGAGACGTGAAATGTATGTTCACACAGAAACTTGTATACAAATGTTCATAGTGGCATCATTCATAATAGCCAAAAAGGAGAAACAAGCCAAATATCAACAAATGGATAAACAAAACGTGGCATATCCTTCCAATGGAATATCACTCAGCCATGAAAAGGAATGAGGCTCTGACACATGCTACCATGTGGATGGACCTTGAACACATCACACTCAGTGACAGACGCCAGACCCAAAAGGCCATATACTGTGTGACTCCATTTATATGAAATGTCCAGAATAGGCTGATCCACAGAAACAGAAAGTAGATTCGTGGTTGCCAGGGGGTTGGGGGAGTGACTACTAATGGGGATGGGGTTTCTTTTTAGGGGACAAAGGTGTTCTACATTAGATGTGGTGATGATTGTACGATGCTGGGAATATACTAAAAACCACTAAATTGCACACTTAAAGGGTGAATTATACAGTATGTGCATCATATCTCTGTAAAGCTGTTACCTATCTATCTATCTAAAATAGCTGGCCAGTTAGCTCAGTTGGTTAGAGTTAGAGCATCAACACCAAGGTCAAGGGTTCAGATCCCTGTACTGGACAGCCACCAAAAATACAAACAAAAAAAAGAAAAATATGCTACAAAGACTGTATGTACCCTTCACCGAAAAAGTCTGTAGATCCTTCTAAGTCAATCTCTCGAGTTGATAAAAAACAAGGTTGAGGGGGGAAACAACAGGGCCCTGCATGGTTCACAGACATGGACATACATGTATGTGTCAAGGGAGGGAAAGCAGATGGATCTGCCCATGAAACCCACCCAACTCCAGGCACTGGCTGTGGCCTGGTGGGGGCGGTATGTGGGGACAATGGGGACAGGGAGGAGTGGGAGGGAAGTTCTGGCTGTGTCTGATTTTTTTCCAACTAAAACACCACAGGGTGTAACAAACTAATGACAGCTATTAACCCTGGGTAATGAGAGAAGGGGTTTGTAATGACAGTCTTTGTCATTCCCTGAACTATCAAGAATGTCTCAAAACAGACCCTCTCACTCTAAAACCAAAGCAATACTACAAGTCCCTTGGCACATGCTAAGCTCTCCATGAGAGCCCCACTGAGGTCCCAGAGGGCAGAGTTGGTGGCCCCCCTGTTGCCTCAGAGGGGAGGACTGAATGCCCGGAGGATGTGGGCCCAGCCCTTGGTGACAGGACCCCCCAGGTGCACAGAGAACCCAGGGGCCACCGAGGGAGGTCCCTGTCCCCTCACCTGTAACACGTTGCTCTCTGCCTCCTCCCCGGTAATGACTTCCACTTTTTCCAGCAAACACTTCCGTGCTGTTGCCTTGGTGTAGGCGGCTGCTGACTCAGCCAGGGACTCTGAAATGTTATTTGCTAAACAACATTGACTATTGATTTGGTGAGGGGAGAGTGTATACCTCACAGGAGACCGAGAGGATTGGATCTCGCCTCGAGGACACCAGCTACCCCTGGGCAGGCCAGACCTGACCTCTGGAGTGGCCCTGGGGACAAACCACATCACTCAGCCTTGGAACCTGCAGGGAGACCATGTGGCAACTGCCAAGCAGCAGAGGACAGACAGCGAGACACTCTTACAAGAGAAGGCACTAAGGAGAACCTTCCCTCACCTGCTGCCTCAGAGCGGAAAGGGAGAGGCGACAGCTCCTCCACAACCCTCCCCTGGCTGTGCCACATGGGCCCCCAAGGACGAGCATCTCCTGTCATTCTGCTCACTGACATTCAGAGTTCTGGAGGCTGCAGCCGCTGCTTTTAGATTGTTTAGTAGCTGGTCCGCACGTGGTCACTACCGCTGGGGGAGTTGGTTTCTTCCTCCCTCCCAGCAGGAGTGTAGACAATTTCCCCTGGTCCCTTATCACCCCCACGCTGACCCGCCATGACGTTGCCCACGAGGCAGCAGGACTGTAACGTACCTTTCTCAGGGGTAGCTTCCTGGGAAGAGGACTCTGATCCGGACTCGGCAGCTACGTGTTCCTTATTGGCATCTGAACTGATCTCATTTAATTTTGGGGGGCTCTGCAGGGAGACGAAGGCACAGGGAGGAGGACATGTTTGTGTGGTCCTGGTGGATGAATCGCTGCAGAACAGAAAGCCCCCAAGCTGGGAAAGCCACTCTCAGCACTTCTCTGCCCAGCCCTGCCTCCACACAGGCATATCCTAACAAGGATCCCCCCGAGCTACTCTGGGAGCCCCCGGTCTCTCATGGTGCTGCTGGGAGGCAAGGGCCACCAGCTGATGGTCCCATGGACCTCACTGTTCATCTCTGCCTGCATGGCAGTCTGTGTGAGGCAATTCTTTGAATATTTCATTGTAACAGCAAAAGGACAGTGTTGATAGGACAGAAAAGAAGCAAGAGGCTCATTAATTTAATTAAACTGAGACAAAGATGGAAATAATTGGGTGGGCCAAAAATCGCTCCTTAGCCACAATCACAATTGACACAAAGTTGTGTGCATTCAAATGGGAAGAAAAAGGAACAAACATAAGGAAGCAGGTAAATCACTTGAGAACCCTGTCCCAGGCTTGTCAGTCTCCCTGGGAATGGAAGACGGCCCTTGGGAGTCAAGTGCCGTGTGGTCAGGAGAGCAGGGAGGCTGGCAGCCTTGTTTGCTGGCACGGCTGGTCCCGCCCCCACAGACATGTCTGGCTCTGTCACAGGGAACACAGGGAACCTCTCCCCCACTGAGCTGCAGCCTCGTGGTCTGGGTGGGCCTGACCTCCCTGGGCTCCAGAGAGGGCTCAGGTTGGCCCAGTAGCACACAGCTAAGGACTTGTGTCTGATGGCTGTCACTCCATCTGGCCTTACAGCGAAGAAGCATGGCCCCAGCTCAGGGAAACCCATCTGAGGATGAAGCCAGCCACTGCTGGCAGGGAGGAAAGACAGGAAGAGTGGATGCCAGCTCCTGGACTGCCTCCCGGGGTCACCAGAGCCAACGGTCCTGCCCCCATCATTAAGCAGAGTCTGAACCAGGCCTGCCTTCCCTTACTTGCACTGAAAGCTTCCCAATTTTACCAGTGCGGCAGCCACACATCACATGTCCCCTTGACTTGAGGTTGGTGCTAAATGCCATCCAGTCTTTAAGAACAGTCCCAACCATGGCCACTCACCAAAACTCGCTCGCTCATGTTCTGGCCAAATATGAATTTGTTGCTGGAGGCGTCGGCACTATTGGTCGAGTTCTCTAAACTGAAGGGAAGATGTGCTGTGAGTGTGCAGTTGTCAAGTAAGAGGGGACCAGACAAACATGCACACACAAACGAAACGCACACACACACGAAACACACACACACACATGCACTCAGAGTGGATGAGAGCCAAACACCAGTGCAGAGAGCAGTCCAGGCACCTCCCGAGCTGCAGACAAGCCGGTGAGCCACACACTCTTCCTCGTTGTGCCAGATGGAAACACGGACCTCAGCTCATCTTGATGGAGCGTCCCAACAGCACAGGGAGCCCACATTCTACCCGCTCTGCCAGCCTGTCTCCCAGACAGGGACACGCTTCCTTCTGAAACACCCACTGAGGCAGCCAGGCCCTTGCGGAGCACCCCATCAGCAGTGCCAATCAAGTGCCCGAACGCAGGGTAAGGGGGAGGTTGGAACCTTGTGGCTAACAGAGACAACCTGGCTGCCAACAGCCCATTCAGTTCTGCTGTGGGCACGAGGTCTCTATGACAGAGGTTGCTCCGAGGCCTGGGCTGTGTCTTCCACATGCGCATGGACAGCCCCACAGAACTCTGGTCCTGCCTCAGGTGTGTGTGGGAATCCCACAACAAAGCGCACCATTCTGGCCCCTCCACAGCTGGGCCAGAGTGGGGAGGAAAGGGGTCCAGAGGGTTATCTGGGTTCTAATGGCATCTGCTCTCTCTTGTCCTGCTCCCCACCCCTGAAGGACCTGGCTTCTAGACCAGGTTCCAGGCTCCCAGGCCCGAGGACCAGGGACGCCTCTATGGCCGAGGTGTGCCCCAACTTCACCACACCAAGGCTGGCCACCGGGCCTGAAACACACACCTGGAGCTGATATACTGAAGGAAATAGTTTGTTGCAGTAGGCGTTTCTGAACTGGGGTGTCCGGCATTCTCCACGTCAGCTACGTCAGTGTTCTCATTTATTAGCTGGGAAACAGAGAGGAAACACTTACTAACCAGAGAATGGCAGAGTCTTGGATTCTACAACTTTGTCTGCATGACCTACACACTATTGGCACAGCTCCAAGATGCAAATCCTACCATGTACACGAGAGAGAGAGAGAGAGAGAGAGAGAGAGAGAGAGAGAGAGAGAGAGAGAGAGACACTAAGTGTGTGTGTGTGTGTGTGTTGGGGGGTGGGGCTGTAATCAACTTCATCCCTTTTTGCTTCTAACAGTTAGGACATAAAAACAATTCCTCAAGCATCAGAGAGCTCGGGCTGGCCGGTTAGCTCAGTTGGTTAGCGCACAGCCTTATAACACCAAGGTCACAGGTTTGGATCCCCGTACTGGCTGCCAGCCGTCCCCCAAAAAGCATTAGAGAATCTTCTCTACCTTGTTATTAAAAAAACTACACTCAAGCTGGCATCCTGTTGGCATTTTCATCAATGCTTCTGTACCAAGAAACAGAGAATGCTTACAAATCTGGTATTTTAAAGGGTTTATCATAAACATAATAAAAACATCATTTCTTGACAGTGTCTTTTAAGCCAACTGCTGTGCTAAGTCCATTACATATATTATCTAATTGAATCCTCACAGAACCTGTGAGGTGGGTACCCTGTTTTACCAACAAGGAAGCAGAGGCTCAGGGGGTTAAAAAAGCCACAGCCCAGCTGGCTGTTCAGCTTACTTGTTTAGAGCATGGTGCTGGTAACACCAAGGTCAAGGGTACCAATACTGGCCAGCCACCAAAACCAAAAAAATAAGCAAAAAAAATCCACCATGCCCCAAGGTTGCTCTCGATGGAGAAGCTGCAATATAACTGTGAGACTCCAAACCTCGTGCAAGCCCTTTACCTCTGTAAGATACTGATCCCATCCCAATTTTAAAGCAGCTCTACCCCCAAATGCAGGTACACTCAGCAGGGCCTGAGGTCCACAACCAAGCCCCTCCGCCTCTCACATTTCTCCCTGGAGGAAGTAGTCCACAGGGGACTCATTATTTTGGCTGAAAGCCAAGGCAACATCAACACCTATTTTTCGCATCTCTCAGGGGACTTGTGCTTCCGCTGGACACAAAGGAGAGTGAGTAACAAAGGAGAAAGCAGAAAACACCATCAATACTTTCTACATGCAAGAGGGATATTTGTTTCCTTGTTTCAGGGTCTGTCCCCCTTGGTACTACTGACAATTGGGGCTGGATACTTCTCTGTGGTGGGGCCATCCTGGGCACTGCAGGGTGTTGAGCAGCGCCCCTGGCCTCTCAGCACCCCCTACCTGCCACTTGTGACAACCACAGTGTCCCCAGACATGCCACAGATATTGCCTATCAGGCTTCTAAAGAAGCTTCTTGCCAGATGAACTGCTGGAAATACCTCGGAAAGACATTCGATGCCTGTGGCTGGATTCGATGCCAGGTGCTCCCCACCCCCTGACTCAAAGTCTTCAGACTAGACAGATACACCTGCAGGGTAGCTGGGAGGTGACTGACACTTTCTCTTCCTTTCAGGAGAGAAAACAGTCTCTTCCCTGCCCCACTCTACTTAAAAAAAAAATAAGGTGATAGTTCTTTTTTTTTTTTTTTTTAAATGACAAGTAAGGGGATTTTAACCCTTGACTTGGTGTTGTCAGCACCACGCTCTCCCAAGTGAGCTAACTGGCCATCCCTATATAAGGGATCTGAACCCATGGCCTTGGTGCTATCTGCACCACACTCTCCCAAGTGAGCCATGGGCGGGCCCTAAGGTGAAAGTTCTTAACTGTGGGTGAATCTGCCCTCCAGGGTATAACTGGCGATGTCTGGGCACATTTGCAGTTGTCTTGACTTGGGGGAGGTGCTCCTGGCATGGAGTGGGTGGAGGCCAGGGACGCTGCTCAGCACCTGCAATGCTCGGGACAGCCCCCAACAACTAAGAATGACCGGTCCAGGGCTGGCTGGTTAGCTCAGTTGGTTAAAGCGCAGTCTTATGACACTAAGGTCAAAGGTTTGGATCCCCATACTGGCTAGCTGCCAAAAAAAAAAAAAAAAAAAAAAAAAAAAAAAAAAAAAAAAAAAAAAAAAAAAAAAAAAAAAAAAAAAAAAAAAAAAAAAAAAAAAAAAAAAAAAAAAAAAAAAAAAGACTAGGTCCAAACACTGCTAGTGCTGAGACACAGAAACAGTGAAACAACTGAAACAAGGAAACAAGAATTTCACTGGCAGCGTCTATGGCCCTGGGTCACGCTGTCTGCTTTCTTTGCTACATAAACATGAGTTCTTGGCGATAAGCATATTCAGTGACCTCCCTGTCCCCTGCTACCAGAAGTGTGAAGGAGCCTGACTTGAGAAAACAATGCTGAGTCTCTCACTCAGAGGGGGAGTGGCAGCAGGCAGCACCCCAGGTCACTGCAGGTGAGGGCTCTGCAGCCTGGGGGCAGGGGTGTGTCCGGAGCTGGGGGCTAATCACAGGGCCATGGAAAGCATGCACGCCAGCAGCTGACTGGGCCATCAGTCACAGGACTGCCCCCGTGACATATTCTTTCCCCTTCCCCCCACTTTTTTTTAAAGGAAAGAGTAGACTTCCTGTTCATTAGGTCAACAGCTCATTCAATACCCGAGCACATACCTTAACCCTGTCCCTCAAGTTCTGCCCAAATATAAATGTCTGCTGTGCAACTTGTCCTTTTTTTTCACAGTTCTCCTCAGACGTATTGCTAGACTCATTTTTCTGGGGCTCTTTCTCCTGTTAAAAAAACACAATAACCGAAAACAAGTGACACACTTAGCCCAGATAAACACTGAGCAAATGAGCAATCCCGCACCATTTTGTTTTCTCCACACCTCTATGGATGTGGATTGGTCCCTGGGCTAAGGGACAATGTAAGACACGTCAGGGAACCAACCTAGCCAGCTGCCTGGGATAAACATTCTGTAGGTGGGGCCATGGGAGAAGGGTCCCAAAATCACCAAACATGAGCTGCTAGCCCCCTAAACATGGCAGTCAGTGGGAGGGTGAGGCTTGGATACCTGGAGACTGGTCCTCAGGCCTGGAAGCCAGACGGTTCCCAGGCACAGGCAACAGGACCCGCTGCCTCAGTGATGCTAGGGGCCCTGCAGTCTTCTCTCCTGACCTCAGCTGGGGGCAAGCCAGGGCAGCACAGACAGACAACACTTGGGGAGCTCAGGGACCAACAGTGCCCTGGTTTAACAAGGGCTCTGATGGAAACTGGACCTTGATGAGGCCAAGCTCGCCCAAAAGATACCAAGCCTTCCATGGATGTCTACAAGTCTGCTTTCTTAAGAAGCTTTTTTTGTTTTTTGTTTGTTTTCGGCAGCTGGCCAGTACAGGGATCCTAAACCTTGACCTTGGTGTTATAACAATGAGCTCTAATCAAATGAGCTAACCAGCCAGCCCTAATTAAGATGCTTTTAATCAACATTTTTTGGAGTCAGATTTTTTTCTGGTATTCGAAAGTTCCTGAAGAGCAGTGGCCTTTCTATATAGGTAGACGTGGTGCACAAGGGGAACCTCACTGTCCAACGTGCCCACAAAGTGCTTCTAAGAATCCACTCTCAGAGATACTCGCACGAGGGTACAGACGCAGGTGGCGTAAGAGGCAACATAGCACCATTAGTACTGGCAGAGAACCAGAAGCCACATGGATGGTCATCGTTAGCTGAGGGCTAAATAATTTAGAATGCAAAATATAATGAGGAAGTGGCTGGCCAGTTAGCTCAGTTGGTTAGAGTGGGGGTGCTGATAACACCAAGGTAGAGGGTTTCTATCCCTGTACCAGCCAGCTGCCAACCCCCACCGAAAATAAAAAACAAACAAATACACTGGGGAAAAAATACAATGCAGCTGTTACCGAGAGAGAGACAGGTCTCTGACATGAAATGATGCCCCAATACAGTGATTGGTTGGAAAAAGCAAGTGGCGGGATACAGAAGTGTGATTCCATTTCTGTTAAAAGCAAACCCAATCCCAAGCATGTGTATGTGTTTAGAAAGACCCAGGAAAAAAAATCGAGAGATAAAGTCAAACTATTGACAAAGGTTATCTGGGGACCTATTAATTGGAGGGTGACTTCCACTTTCTACTTTATAGATTTTCCAAGTGTTTAAATGTTTGTAACATGCAGGCATGATTTTTGTAATCAAACATTTTAAGAACTAATTCATTTATCCTGGAATAAAGGGATATGAAGTTGCTAGTAATTCATATATATGTTTTATACATGATAAAAGCTACAGTACAGTTGAAAAGAAATACAAAACAGGTTTCAGGCTGATGCTGTGGGGTTTTGTAAGGTGGACAAAAACATGAGGCAGGGCTTTCCCAGGAGACATCACGAAGGGGCCAGAGAACAAAGGACCCCGGCGTGGGAAAGGTGGCACCATGGCTCCTGAAGCTGGAGGCGTTTCTAGCCCCAGGGTCAGCGGATCACAACGCTAATTACGTTTTCCAGTCCATTTGTCAAAAGTCTAAATGTTTCCCTACTGTGCTCCCTGTAAATTCTGCTACTATTGACTTCATGATGCAGCCTGTGCCTGTGTAAGAGTGAACATGGCCTTTTAAAATGAAACCCACACGTCTGGTGTGTTATGGCAACTGTGATGTCAAGTCCATCTCTGCCAACCTCAAAAGTATTTCCCTACTGTGCTCCCTGTAAATTCTGCTACTATTGACTTCATGATGTAGCCTGTGCCTGTGTAAGAGTGAACATGGCCTTTTAAAATGAAACACACACGTCTGGTGTGTTATGGCAACTGTGATGTCAAGTCCATCTCTGCCAACCTCAAAAGTAGGCTCTTCACCAAATGTCCCCGATTGCACAGCTGTTGTGAAATACATTGCTTCTGATCTCCGGAACCCCAGAATGCTGGAGGACTTTTTTCTTAAATGAACTATTTCTGAGTTGACTCCCCAAGCAAACTTTTCCCACTACAATGTGCATACATATATGAATCCCCGAGGGTCACTGGGTATGAAAACAGAGAGGGGAGATATTTCTTCATGTAAACTACTGCCTGATGTGCACTCATGAGGCTGTTGCTTGGCCCCAGAGTTTGGTGGTTAAGGAGCCCCTGGCAGCAGTGCTCCCTCGAGATGCCTGGAAGCCACATGCTCAGGCAACACAGGCCTTTAGGCACAGCTCTGCTTGCAGCAACCTTCTTTCTGATGGAGAAAGACCACCCTTGGTAGTCTAGCAATTGGTTCATCAGTTACTGTTACTCACTGAGATCACTGAGCAAATCCAGAAAGCTTTTCAACAGGCAGCAGTCTATGAACTCAGCCAAACCTTGAGAACTGTGCCCCCTCCAGCTCACATGGGGGCCCAGCAAGCAGTGCTCCCCCTGCCCCATGACCCACTGACCTCAAGTGTGTGTGCCTCTTCAGCAGAGTCAGAGGGACTTCTCCGTGTGGTATTGTCGGGTAGTGCTGATGTTGCTGCCCCCGTGCAGTCTGCTGGGATGCTGACCCCATTGGTGCCGCTGCTAGGGACTGCGGGAGGAAAGGAGAGTGGGGAAACCTGAGCGTTTGGTGAGGGCATGTCCTACTACATCACCCTCCACACGTGCAGCATGCTGAGGGCTGGACTGAGGGTGGGCCCCTTCCTACTGTGTACAACATCTCCTTTCTAAGGAAAGGACCTGGAATCACTACTAAACTCACAAATTCTTAAATAAAAAATAAAAACAAAAGACAAAAACCTCACAGAAGTTAGAATGTCTTATCTTTATTCCACCCTCCACACGTGCAGCATGCTGAGGGCTGGACTGAGGGTGGGCCCCTTCCTACTGTGTATAACATCTCCTTTCTAAATAAAAAATAAAAACAAAAGACAAAAACCTCACAGAAGTTAGAATGTCTTATCTTTATTCCAAAATGAACTATGTGAATTTTCAGTATGTTCTAGAAGCATTACTGTTAATTAAGGAAAAAAAGAATAGAAAAATATATTGGGAGAACAATTCTTTGAGTTTTATAAAACTATTTTTACTAATAAGGTCTTTATGCAATTTTTTCCATTTAAATAATTGAGAGCACATGACATGCACAATTTAAAATCTGCCTTTGACTGCTTAGCATTAGATTAAAATAATTTCCCACATAATTAAAAACCTTTTAGAAATATTAACTATTTCTCTCGTGTTGGATGCCGAGTTGCTCCTGATAAAGAGTTCCTGAATTACAGGAAAAGATCAAGAGGAAGAAAATCCCACTAGTACTAAGAAAATCAAGGATTAATAGAAAACCACCACCTGTGTGGATATAATGGAAATACAGTTTAAGAGTTATGTATAAAGGTTGGTAAAGAAGATAAAAATGCACAGCTAATCAAAATGACCTTTTAAGTCTCTCAGACAACATGTAAAATTTCTAGGCTGAAGTCTTGCCTGCAAACACATAGGAACAAATCTAAGTTCTCACGGCAGCCGGCCAGCCTTTATGAAGACAGTGAATGAACAAAGCACCTTTTCACCCACACAGTCATGCTCAGCCGAGAGCTCCGGGGAGACCACGGAATCGTCTCTCTCTCCTCCTCTGTCCTGGGCACTGGGGCTACTGTTTCTTACCGGTCTGTGACAACGCCTTCGGTTGCGGAGCTTGTAACACTGCCGGGCGAAGCACGCTCCGCTGCTGCTCCTTGGGCTTCTGGCTTGGCAGACCTGGGTTAGAGAAGTTGGCTTTCCCAGGGCCTGAAGACCCCTGGCAGAAACAACACCCCTGCCCTGGGTGCTGCTGTGAAGGCTAACCCCCGGCAACCCATTTCCTGTGCTTCGCAGGTAAGACTTTGCAGGGAAGCACTTTTTAAAAAACCTAATATCATCTCTTTAAAGACAGCTAGACATGCAGATTCTGGTCACTGTTATTTTTATAGGTGATTAACTGGAATTCCCAAGTGACTGATCAAGTCTGAAAATTAGTTACTAATCCAGTTAGTCCAGTGATACAACAAGGAGAATTGAGGGACAGATTTGCTCCTAGTGCTGGACTTGAGAGTCAGGCAGTTGGGCTGGCCAGTTATCGCCATGGTTAGAGGATGGTGCTGATAACGCCAATGTCCAGGGTTCAACCCCTGTACAGCCAGCCACTAAAAAAATACAATGAGTCAGGAGGAGATGGTGAGAGAGGAAAGCGTTGAATTCAGACTCCTCAGAGGTGTAGGACTCTCCTTGGGGTCATGAAAAGGCACCTCTGCACCTGCTTTTCAAAATAACCACAGTGAAAAAATCTCTCTGGCAAATGCAGAAGGGACAAGGACCATGAGAGAACGTGTCCTGTCCTGTACAGGCTCCCTGTCAGCTTCCTCAGCGGGCTGAGGTGGCTCTGTTAAACAGGGTAAGCACTGTGGCATGCTGGAGCCAGAGTGCTCTGGAGGGACAGTGTGAACCAACTGTGCTATTGCCAGGTGTGGAACCCCAACATCCTGCCTGCTCCTGTGCTGCCACTGCTTCTTCTTCTGAGCATGTAATGCTCATTGGTACGGCCCGACCTCCTTGGTCAAACAGACTCTCTTTAAAGCAGCTTTCCAGGACTCACGCGACAGGTCACAGATGACCTAGAAAGTGGCTGAGCCCACGGGGTCCTGTTGGAGCTGGGCAGAGAGGCCTGGAAAGGTGTCAGAAAGCCATCTCCCTTGTCTCCAAGACAGGTAACCTACCTGCGCTGGGTGCCTGGCCGTGGATCAGCGTCGGGGGCTTCAATCGGAACCCGCTGCTCTTTTCCTCTAAAAGCACAAGACAACATATAAAAAGCAGGCTTGCCTGGGGCAGGGGTGGGGTAGCTGAACCTGGAGGGAGGAAGTGCAGGAGAGGACTATGATCTTGGCCTAGGTGACTGTGGGTACAGAGAACCAGAGAAAGTGTTTCCATATTAAAATAGATACGCAAAAGCCCTGTCCAGTCAGCAAGGCTGTAAGGCAGCCTGGGGGAGGGGAAGGAGATGGGGACTGCAGGAGGGGATGGCTCTGGGGCAAACTGCTGACAATGAGAGACCAGCCTTCCAGCTGCAGGGCAAGTGCAAAGCTGCCTGCTATCTGCCCTGCAGGCCTGTGCTGGGCTTGTAGGCACTGGAGAATGGCAGGGAGCCACAAAACAAAGATCCATTTCCCTTTCCTAGAGGACTTGTCCACCACAGGATGCGTCCATGGCCAGGAAAAGCCTTGGCATACAGGTCGGAAGTGGCAGAGGATGGGCTTGCTCTCACTTTCCATGTGTCCATGGAGCTTCACCTCGTTGCTTACTGAGGGCTCTTGGCCCCGTGCAAGGAAGCCGGGTCTCCCCTAGGACTTGAGTTTGGGCTGACAGATACACAGAGCTAGAGGAGGACAGTGAACACCCAGGGGCTCCTGGGATGGCTCAAAAATCTGATTTCAGCTCAGCTACTTGTCCACATGAACCCCTTCATCTGTGTTGTTTTGGTGACTCTGCCCATCTCGGGGAGGAAGGGGCCAGTCTAATCTGATCCATGATGGGAAAGATCATCATAAAAGACCTGTGACTCCCAATAGGCCAGGCCTGTTCCTGGGACGAGGGCATCATGGGCTACAGGAGGAGGCCCTGCTTTTGTGCTAACGTTTCACACTTGTCAGGTTGTAGGGGACAAGATCAATATGCAAAAACCAATTACATTTCTGTACCGTAGCAGTAAACAATCCAAGGAGGAAGTTAAGAAAACAGATTCCATTTACAGTAGCACCAAAAGGAATAAAATACTTAGGAATAAAATTAACAAAAGAAAACTCTAAAACATTGTTGGAAGAAATTAAAGACTTAAATAAATGGGAAGACATCCCAAAAGGTCACATAATGTCTGCTCCAATTTATACGAAATGTCCAGAACAGGCAAATCCATACAGACGGTTAAGTGGATTAGTGGTTGTCAGGGGCTGGGGGAGGGGGGTTGGGGAGTGACTGCTAATGGGCACAGGGTTTCTTTTTGGGGTGATGAAATGTTCTAAAATTAATTATGGTGGTGGTTGCACAACTCTGTGAATATACTAAACACCATTCAATTGTACACAAAAACAATGACAACGATAAAACCCCAAATGCCTGTCAGACCAAACTTTCAGATATGAACCAAAATCAAATCAGAATTCAGAATGAAACAAGAAGGCACTTTTACTATTGACTATGTGCTGGTGAGCCAAACTGCTTTCCTTGGGCACTAAGAGGATTATAACAACTCTTATTACTAGTATGAAGGAATTGAGGCCAATGGGCTTCCAAGAGCCTGTGTTGGTGGGGTAGGTGTCACTCCCATAATAGAGCGGCCAGAAACAAACTCAGGAGAACCAGATACCACAGGATGCGGGGTAAGAGATGCCTCCAGGTGTTCCTTTTCAGAAGAGAAATACTGAATTACATTTCCAAAGCACAGGATTATTCACAAGACGATGGGCAATTTAGATACATTTTTAAAAGTTGAGGTCAAGTCCACAATTTAGATAATTTTCAGAAAGCTCTTAGAGCCGGCTTTAGAACGCTTAGTTTTGGTTAGACTGCTCTTCAACACTTTGCTCAGTGTAGAGCCAATGCTAACACCCACATGAGCCTCATGGGTCAGCTGAGGCTGATGGGTGCGGGTGGCACGTCCGGGGAATCGCTGCCACTGACCAGGCCACTAACTCTGGGCCCAACCCTGGCCCACTCCGCAGATGAACATGAAATCCACACTGAATGCCACAGTGAACGGACAGACAGACAGATAGGCATGCCACACTTCTAATGGCAATGGGAGATTTGAGACAGAAGGGGTCAGGGCAGCAGAGAGTTGTGCTCACAGGGCAGCGAAACGTTGGAGGTCCCTGTTGCAGGCCCCACTCCACTAAAACAAATGTGGTCTCTTCTCACTCCTTCCAGAAACTTGCTTTTCCTGCAGCACTGTCAGGGTGCACACAAGTTGCTGCCTCATGGCTAGAGCCCGACGGCCACCACACAGCCCAGGGGTGCAGGGGTGTACAGGCCACTACACTTCCTGAGGGCACATGTATCGCTCTGGAGGAGAGAGCCCTGGGGGGAGGAAAGGGCTGCCCTGGCCCTGCTGCACAGCAAGTCTAAAGCAGGCAGCCTCCTGTCTGAGGGTGCTGCCTGCCTGCATCTAAGAGATCCCGAGTCGCATCTGAGGGAAGCAGTGCCCACGCCTGAGGGAACTCCTGATTCAACCAGGAAAGCACATCAGAATGAAACCTGGTGTGCACCAGATGGTGAAAATGATCCAAAAGCAGGCAGTCTGTAGGAGCTGGGGCCTGGGCAAGGACGGGAAGGCAGATTGGCCATGCACAGGATGCAGAGCAATGAGTAAACATACCGAGGACAAAGGGAGCCAGGTTTCTTATTGTCACAAAAGAGAGGCAGAAACATGCAAGGGGAAAGCTGGAGCTAACACCACTGGTCCTGGACTAGAAGCACTCACGTGCCCTGAGGGTCATCTACATGTGCAGACAGAGACACAGAGATCCATGCAGATGGAGATATGTGCGTGGTCCTTGCTCTGTCCACTAAGACGACCCGGGAGTGGGGAGATACCACAAGATGGTAGGGGAGCGGAGAGCCGGCCAAGCACCTGGATCTTATTTCCTGAAGACCACTCTCCACTACAGAGAACCAGGGCCCCTTTGAGAAATGGTAGGGATCCTGGGGCTGGAACAGGGAAAGATGAGCCTGGAGCCCTTTGTTGTGACAGAAAGTAAACGAAGTGCACAAAAGAACGATGGACAGGGCTGGCCTGTGGCTCACTTGAGAGAGTGTTGTGCTGATAACACCAAGGCCACGGGTTCAGATCCCTATATAGGGATGGCCAGTTGCTCACTTGGGAGAGCGTGGTGCTGACAGCAAGTCAAGGGTTAAGATCCCCTTACCCGTCATCTTTAAAAAAAAAGAATGATGGAGACATGCCAAAAGGGCCTAGGAACCTGCCTGACCAGGCTCTCATGGGCTGGATCTGGGACACCCTGAACATTAACACAGGAACTAATAACAACAGATTATAACCCATCAAAGAAAACAGGAATCCATCAATCCATGTTGATATAATAAAACAATGAATAAATAAGTGGGGAGAAGAGAGAGCTCTTCCTAACAGTAGAATGCTCATTAACTTTTCTTCTTCTTCTCTTTCTGTCTTTTCTTTTTTTTTTCCTTTTTTTGTCTTTTTCCGTGTCCAGCAACGGATCGCAATCCTCAGTGTCGCCCCCGTACTGGACCGGGACCGGCAACGGTATCGCAACCCTCGGTGTTGCTCCCGTGCCTCGCTCAGCCAGTGAGCGGAACCGGTCTGTATGTGGGATCTGACCCCGCGGCGGGAGCGCCGCCACGCTTCCCAAGCGGCGCACTATAGCAGTGCGCCACCGGGCCGGCCCCTGTCTTTTCTTTCTCTTCTCTCTTTCTCTCCCCCACCCTCCCTCTCTTTCTTTCTTTCTTTCTTTTTTTTTCCAAATGAACAAATTTATACATAGATACATGTATACATATATATAAAATATAAAGCACTTGAACAATTTAATTTATCTCGTCTGATCTCGGAAGCTAAGCAGGGTCGGGCCTGGTTAGTACTTGGATGGGAGAACAATTTAATTTAAAGCACTTGAACAAGATCATTTTCATTCTTCTACAGCATTCCTGAAAACTTTACAAAAATCTATCATGTTTTAGGCCATAAAGTATCTCTCCACAATATCACAGAAACCATGTGTTTTTTCCATATTCTTTCTTTCTTTTTGAGAATGCTAATTAATGAATGTAGGAGGGACAGTGTAACCAGAAAAGCCCACTTGGCAATGAGCAGAGTGATGTCACTTAAGGAAGGAATCAGCACTGGGTGCGAAAATTGGAAGCAAGAGTGAGACAAGGACAGAGTGCCTGAGAACCTCAGAGGATCTCTTCAGAAAACAGTAATCACAAAGGGGGGAAAGAGTCATTTTTACAGTGGTGAAACCAGGCAGATACTGCTAACCATGTGCTCAAAGCCAACTCTGCTAATCGGAGGACAAGTGAGCAGTGGTGCACAGCAACCACAGCCTCACTTCTGTGGGGCTCCCACCCAAGACATGTCACCTGGGTCTTCTACAAAATAACCAACCTGCAACCTTTGGTCACAAAAGTCAAGGGGAGACTGAGGAACTGTTCCTGATGGGAGGAGAGGTATGGAAGGTGCGATCCGGGATCTGATCCTTTTAGAGCAAAGTGGGAACGAGTGGGGAAAACAGAATGGGGTCTGCAGGTCAAAGAGACATAGAACCACTTTATAAATCTTCTGTATGTATTAGAGTTTTTCAGAACTGAAGCTAAAAAACAGAAGAAAGGCAGGCAGGCAAGGACGTGAAATTCACTTTGCAGAATAGATGTGCACTAGAGTAGAACATGACTCCACCCTCCCCCGCACTAGGGCACCAGGGACTTCAAATCAAGGCTGTGTCCAGGCCTATGAAACGGATCCGAGTCGCCCTGTCCCCCAGGGCTACCCTGCTCCTGATGCTGGAGGAGAAAGACTGGGGTGAGACACAGGGGAGGGAGGCCATCATGCACAGACTTAGGAAGTGATCACTGGATCGTGATGGAGCTCAAAAGCGTAAAAGGAGCATGATACATGTCTTCAGCCACTGATAACCTAAACCAGAACCAGAGCCACAGGCTGGCAGATGTCACCTCCCCACTGCAGACACCACGGTTCAGAACACCATCTGCCAAGTGATATTCCAGTATAGCTGATGTGTCATTCCTGAGGATCTTGAAAAACCACGCTTCTCTACAGGATGAAGTCGGGGGGGCTGCTCAAAACAGTTTGCTTTTAGAGTCAGAATGAATTCGATTATTTGAAATGGTGCCATCCAATCAATCCTCAAAGTCAAAAGACTCACCTCTACCCTTGACCGACATCCTGCCGGCCTATGACTTGTCTTACAATGCTTTTGAAGTTGGCAATGAATTTATATAAGGCAGTTTGGGTTACAGAATTTAGGTTGTTAAACTTGCTAGTTAATTCTTTTATGAGGAATTTCAGCCCTGAGGGAGAAACTTTCAGGAAATCTTGGAGTCAGTTCTCTAGCGAAACACCAAAAAAGGAAGTCTCCATATTCTTCAGGAGGGATCAAGCTATTTTCCTTAAAAGTTTTAAAGCTGTGATTAAATATATTTATCTGAACAGATCTAAGCAATATTAATTAATGTAAGAATTTAATACACAGAAAAGGGGTCTGGAAAATCACACAAACTTTATAGTAGTTGCCCTTTGGGATGGTGGACTGAGTGAGAAAGGGGCAGGGGCTTCTTTTTACTCTATTTCTGATTAGTTTTTTTTATCAAGCAATATGAATGGGTTGGTCGGTTAGTTCTGCTGGTCAGAGCGTGGTGCTGATAACACCAAAGTCCAGGGTTCAATCCCTGTACCAAAAAAACCCCACTATGAATGTTATTACTTGCATAAAATTTTGAAAAATGAGTAATACATCTCTTCATAGTTTTTGTTTTTTAAAGAATTTATAAGTTCTCATAACCACACCTTACTTGCAGAAACAGAAATTTAAGGGCTATTGAAGCCTTGTCTCACACTGGATTCCAAGTTCATGAGCTGAAGAGTTGGGGGGAAAAAACCCAACACAAAACATTTAGGAACTGAAAAAGAATCCTGACCTCAAATGCCAATTCCTGTTGAAGATCTTATTTGTCAACATCAACTGCTTTTCAACCCAGGAAAACCCCCTGGGGACTGGCGAGAAGGCAAAGGACAGCTCACCTGGTTCTGAGTCAGAATTGCCTGCAGTAGACTCGCAGAAGGTTGATGGCATAAAAACATTGTTTTTGGATACTGTCGGCAAGGAGGTGCAGGTAGGGGAGGAACAAGAGGAAAAACAGTGTGAGTAGGTGGGGCGGACACGCACGGCTCACCCCTCCAACTGGAGAGGTCGCTTCTCAGCCCTACCATGGGAGGGGACAGACAGCACAGGAATAAGGCTGATAAAAGTAAAGCCCAAGACCCTGCTCACAGCAAGAACAGGGGTCTCCAGCACAATGGTATTTGTCTGGTGGTTAGTGGTCAACTCTGGCCTTTTTTTTTTGGCTGCTGGCCTGTACAGGGATCAAACCCTAGATCTTGGCATCATCAGCACTGTGCTCCAACCAAGCCAACTGGCTAGCCCAATTCTGGCCTTCTGGTGGCTGCCCATCTCGTCCTGGTGCTCTGGGCTTTTCCTTGCAGCCTGGGTCCCTGCAGGGGAACTGGCCAGGAAGCACCAATCAGCTCCTGCTCCTTCTTACCAGTCAGGGCTTGCTGGGAGGGTGCGTCCCTTCCCCCACTTGTTTAAGATCTTACTTTACAGTAGTGATGGCTTCCAAGGCTGCGGGCCAGCCAACAGGCTTCCACGAATGAAATGGAACTTGTTGAAGAACTAGCTCTGAGCACACTGAGGACAGAACGCAGCCAAGTGGAATTGCAGTGCAGTGCTAAAACAACACTTTCTAAATTATCAGTACCACTTCTGTCTCCAATTCCCCTGAGGACAGAGAGTTGAGTATCTCCTAGGTGCCAACGCACTGGAGGGGAAGTGATTTTAAGTAAGCCTAGGAAGAAAAATGATTGGTGGTTGCTTGACCCTTTAAACTACAGCCACGGCACGAAACACTTCCTCTCTTCTTTGCGGTGCCCTTTGATGCAGAATGTGTGGTTCAGCGGCAGGCAGTGACTGGGAAGGAATAAAATCAACGACCAGGAAACAGAAGCTCCCTCATTCCACAGGAACACCTGTCCAGGTATGCAGAGATCCTAAAGAAAGCCAACTGCAGCCTGGACAGCAAACCATCTGGCCATTTCCTTAATATCTGGGTAGGAAATGATGGCGTATCTATTCAGGGGAATCTTATGCAGCTGTGAAAGGGATGTGGCCACATCCCAAATCAATGTTAAAGGAAACAGGTTTGAAATCAAGCTTGTTAGAGGGGTGACCTTGAAAGGATGCTGATTTTCTACACTGTACATTCCTGTGATGTTTGCATTACTTTTGTAAGCAGAAACTACTTTCAAAAGTATTTTTCCCTTATAGTGATATCCTTTAGGTTCACAATTGTAAAATGCTTTACATGAACTTCCCAAGAATGAACCTCAGGTTGGGTAACTGGAGAACCTCCCTAAATGCATGGGCATCTCTGGGCTGGGGCTACAGACGGTTAAGACAGAGAACACGGGAAAATGCCAGAGTGGACCACGTCAAGATGGGAAAGACAGGGAACAGCCCTGTGGCAATGTCTACCCTGGGATCTGCAGGGGCGTCCCCACAGCTAGGGTTGAGGGTCAGGCTTTCTTAGTCTCCCATTAAGTAGTTCCCACGTCTCTCTCTGCCCCTGGAACCTGCCTCTTTCCTGTACCAGCCTTCGTAGGAGTCCCTGGCTGGCTGGCCTCCATGGGTGTGCTCAGATCGTGCCTTCTGTCCAGGGCCTCCAAGTCCCAGGCCTGTTCTCTGCCATCCTAGCCTGGCCCTTCCTTCCAGGACTCACTAAGCTCCCCTCCTCTGGGAGCTCACGGCATCACACCATGTGAGCGTGGGTGTGTGTGTGAGTGTCTGCATGTGTGTGCACATGCACACCTGGGCTACTCCAGGAACTGCCAATGTGAGGCACGCAGCTGAAGGGTCAGGAGGACACCCCACCTCCTGCACCCAGTCTAAGGCAATGGCCAGCAGCCTGAGAAAGAGAAGACGTAATTTACGGTCAGGGTCGCCAATAGGACTCTCAACAATCAATCCCTTTTCTCTATTTAAGAGGGATGATTTCTTCACAGTCTCCCTCAGTCCACTAAGTTATACCACTCCGTAAGTGTCACTGATTTCAGATGGAGGACATCTGGTGCTACATTTTGAGCAAGCTCTAATCTCATTCCTGTTCTGGATCTGGGTAGCAGACAGACGATGAATGTTAGGTGCTGGAGAACGGTGGGTTTATAAGTATAAATGCTTTTTTTTTTTTCTTAAAAAAAAAGATGACCGGTAAGGGGATCTCAACCCTCGGCTTGGTGTTGTCAGTATCACGCTCAGCTAGTGAGCGAACCGGCCATCCCTATATAGGATCCGAACCCATGGACTTAGTGTTATCAGCACCACACTCTCCTGAGTGAGCCACGGGCCAGCCCTAAGCATAAATGCTTTTATCATTCAATATGTCTGCAATTATTACCTGACTGTGAAGGTGGGAACTGGGTTAAAGAGGACGTTCTTTCTCGCTTGACAGGAGGGCAGTAATTTCCATCTTCTCGGTCAGAATCTACAGAAAACAATGAGAAGAGGAGGAGAAAAATCAGGTTGCTTCCATTTTTACACCTGAAGATGGCCAAATGTTTTAAAGATTTCCTTACCTTCACCACCTTCGGGACTGGAGCCTCCAGCTGACCTCTGAAACAAAAGCACACACCAGAGGGGTAAGAGGGAGTCTACCTACCTAGGACTGGACAACTCTCACCTCTGTTAATAACAAACGGATCCTGAAATGCAATGCTGGGGGCTAACTCCCTGAACTTGGCCACCTGAATCATAGAATTTCAACCTAAAGCTCAATTATTAGCTGTGATGAACCTTCTACGTCTGGCTTACAAACCATGTGCCAAGGAATCCTCTTAACAGCTGAAAAAGCATTTACAACCCAAGGATCGGTTTCTTTGTTTCTGCACAGGTTACAACTAACTGGCATTCCACCCCCAAACCCACACACAGTGAAACTTTATCTGGCCACATTTCATTCTGCCAAGAGCTGAAAAGCGATCCTGTGCACTATGAAGGGCGGCTGGATTGTTTAAAATGGTCGCATAACACTGGGTCATAGTGGTTTCCATTCCTTGCCTTGGAACATTCTATGGTGCAGAGCCCTGTTTCAAGGTGGGCTATTATTTCCAGAACAAGTGAGAGCTCTGATGCTTTGGACCAAAGCCTGTTGCAACATGTTCAGAACAGAATCGTCAAACACAATTCTACAGAATGCAGAACAAGCACAATCTAAGAGAGAAGGGAGCTAAAGGATTTCCTCCTTTAACAAACTTTAGTTCTAGAATGGAACAACTAGCAATGAGTTAAAATGAGTAGTGTCTCACCTCCCCCAACACACAATCCTTCACATCTGTCCCTTCTGCGGGACTTGTCACTCTTCAGAACTAAGCAGCCAGATGCAAACTGTGATGAGTGAATACCACTCCTCCTGGCCCACTCCATTAAAGAGTGAGCAGAACAGCCAATTTTCTTATTTTCAGAAAAGCTCTTCAGAGGTCAAGTTTAGCCAAATGTGGACTGCCTGCTTCAACGAGTTGTTAGGGATTAAATGAGATGATGCATATGAGAGTGCTCTGCAAACTGGACAGTGGGGTGTAAAAGTAGTAACTGCAATAAATAAAACCAAAGATTATGGGAGTCAGGAGAGACCCTCCTAAAGCAGGGGCAGAACATTTTTTCCATAAAGGGCCAGATAATCAGTACTTCTGGCTTTGGTCTCTGTCACATATTGCTTTTATTGTCCTTTAAAAACGTAAACACTGTCTTAGCTCACAGGCCATACAAAACCAGGCCGAGGGCCAGAGTCTGCGGCAGTGAGAGTCTAGAGATGGTAGGAAGTTTACTAAAAGTCACACAGCTAATTCACGACAGTAAAAAAAGGATCCTAACCTGGACTTTCTCCTCCTGTGTGGGCCAACAACTTGGGTTTGTATCAGCAAAGCAAGCCTGGGCTTCTTGCTTGAGGTCCATGTTCCAAGAGCTCTTTGGAAATGGCTCTAGGGGATGGATGGTGTCTGTGAAATGAGGGCAAGCATCTCTATCCCCAATTGTGAATCTGGGTGATTAGGAGGCTCAGAGGTAATGACTGCCATCAAAGTGCTTGGGAAAACACAAAATCCTCGTAACTCAACAGGGCCTTCTGTTAGTCGCTGGGGCAACTGTGAGAGTCCAAACTTAAATAAAATCCTCATGTCAAGTAGGCTGGCCCTGGAGTCAGCACCAAAGAGGCCAGGACAGGAGAGGGGAGCACTTGACCCATTCCAGCTCCTGAAGGCTTGTAGAGTTCAGTCAGTTTATCCCAGCTCTGTATTTTCCTAAGTGTGAAACCTTCCCTTACCCAGGCTTCAGTTTCTTCCTTTGGAAAATGGGGATCCTGGTACCTCCCCCGTAGGGAGGGTGTGGGGGTGCAACAAGATAAAGCAGGTGCCTGGCAGGCTGGGAACAGCAAAGCGAAGCACAGCTCCTGGCTTTATTATAATTAATGTTTATGACTCCCACCTGGATGATGATAAACCTACAGGCTGTGTTGGGGGCAGGGGTGCAGAGCTCAGGGCACAGGCATGAATGGGAGAGTCAAGAATGTGAAGTGAGGGCCCGCCCGGTGGTGCACTGGAGAGTGCGCTGCTTGGGAGTGCGGTGGCGCTCCCACCGAGGGTTCGGATCCCATGTGGAGAACGGTTCCCACTCACTGGCTGAGCGTGGTGCGGGCGCAACACCGAGGGTTGCGATCCCGTTGCTGGTCCCCGGTACGGGCGCGACACTGAGGGTTGCGATCCCGTTACCGGTCAGTAAAAAAGACAAAAAGGAAAAAAAAAAAAGAATGTGAAGTGAGTCCTGGGTGCAGCCGGAAGGTGGGAGACCTGAGTTGGGGACCCTTAGAGGGGGTTAAGAAGAGGGTCCCAAGCCCAGGACTTGATGTGGGGGGCTGAGACACTCTTGCAGTGCTTTGATTCTACAGAGGCCAGAGCCGGGGGATGCATCTGATAATGCAGAGAGATGTCACCAGCTTGTCATTATCCCTTTCCTTGGGTGACATCAACAGAAGCAGGCTCCATATACCCTCATACTTAGCAAAGGTGGGAGGAATACAGAGGCAGAAACCACCACCAGCCACTGACCTGACCGACCCTTCCTTCAGCCTCCCAGCCCTGGCAGCCCTGAGACACGACGACATGTCCTCCTTGCCCTCTTGATAACTCCCCCCATCCCCACCCAAGCCCCACAGCCTGGCTTTGGCCTCCTAGTGCTCTGTGCAGTTCCTGACCGAGGCCAGCAGCCTCTGAGGGGGCACTGCCTGCCCCACCTTGGGCTTCCCCGGCCTCACCCGTTCCCCCACCTATTCCTAACAGTGGGCCAGTACATCCCCACCCCACCCCAAGGCCCATCCCATGGCTCTTCTCCTCTGCTCTTTTAATTCAATGAGCATTTCAACTATCAAAACCCTTACCTAGTGGACTTCCTGGTCCTGGGAGTTTGTCCCTTCCTGAGTTACTTTGGGACCTGGAGTGGCTGCCCTGTCTCTGGCCTCTGTAGACAACCTACTCCCTCCTGCAAGGATGTCCTTGTTTCCCTCAGATGAGAACAAACCCCTCCTCACATGGTCTCAACACTCCTTATGCTTTTCCTTCATGGCTCTCATTCTGATCTTGTGATTTTGTGTCAGGGTCCCCATGAGACCCCGAGGTCCAGGAGGTAACTAGTCCTCACAGTAGGTGCTTGCTCTGCATTTGTTCAAAGGGACTCTGCATCCCAGGCACCCTGCGGGCCTTGGAGAAGCAGCAAAGGTCGGGCCTGCCTTACGGTGGGAGCTACACACACAGCCAACGACCCAGCTCTCGGCCAGGGGCCCTGATGGCAGTTAGTCCCGGAGCCTCTTCACAGCTACCTAGCTCTGGCACAGGACAGTTCCACCCCCACAGCTGTTGCATAAGGCCTCCATACCTAACCCTCTTTACTCACTGCTTACCTAGGTTAATTTCCACGTGTATGAATTTACTAGTTTTTCTTCTGTTATTGGTTTCTACTCCCATTCTATTGTGGTCAGAGAACATACTTTGTATGATTTCAGTCCTTTTACATTGAGATGTGTTTTGTGGTCTCACCAACAGTCTGCCCCACAGAATGTTAAACTTGCACATGAGGAGAATGTGCATCCTTCCGCCATTGGGCGGGGTGCTCGGCAGGTCAGCTGGCTTCTACAAGTACTGTACAAGTGCTCCATTTCCTTACCGCTCTTCTGCCTAGAGGTCCTGTTGATGACTGCAAGTGGGGACTGAAGTCTCCAACTATTACAGTTCAATCTATTCTTTCTCCCTTGGGTTCTGCCGGCTTTTGCTTTGCATATTTGGGGGCTCTTCACAACAGCCCGCACCTCTCAAGGATCTGGGTCTCCGTGAGCATTTGGTAGATGCTACAAATCCTCTCCCCAGAGCAATGTTTCCAGGTCAAGAGCTGAAGCCTCTGGGGCTCCCGCCCAGCCTCTTGTGATCTCTATGTGACCCTAGGAGCCCCTTGGGGAACAGCAAAGTGCTCCCAGGCAGCTCTGGATTCTGTCCTCCCCTTCACCCACCACATCCAAGGTATCAGCAAGTCTGGTCAGAAAATCTGGTCTCAGGACATATCCCCAGTTGACCCTCTGCCTGGCTTCCCTGCCTGCCCCTACCCACAGTCCACTCTGCACACGACTGCCACGTACCCTGCTTTGTTACCATGCTCCAGCCACACTGGTCTCCTTCCTGTTTTCTGAACATGCTGACTGTTCCTGCCTCACTGCTCCTTCTGTGTGTGCTACTCCCGTGGCCTGGGACATTTCTCCTCCATGTCTCTTTGTGGCCCAGACGCTGTCCTTCTGGCCTGCTCATTGTGACCACCACCTTTAGGGTAAACATATGCTTACTCTCTATCTCACTCCAGCCCCTCTTGGGCCCTCTCCCTGCCCTGTTTTGTTCTATCATAGTTGGAAATGATCTCATGTGTTTGTCTGGCATCTGTCTCCTGCTACAACACAGCTCATACACCCAACATCTGGGAAACAATGCACAAAAGATGCTCAGTGAGGATGTTCTGGACAGATGGAGTCCGTGTCCTCTGCTATATCCCCTTCAGTGACACTGAGAAGAAACGGTGCCCAGCCAGACAAGATTCAGATGCTCCTCGACCCCTGACCTCAGGAGACCATTAAATCCCTGCTCCAAATCTGAGAACCCACCACCCACAGGAAAGTGGCAGCCCCTTTGGTCTGGGAAAGGCTAGGAGGCCAACACTTAGGAAGGACAACACAGGAAGATTCCCACTCTGGGGGTGGGGGTGGGGGGGGAATAGTCCAGATGCAGCTGGAACTTCCAGTAGGGTCTGAAATGGACGACTCAGAAGCAGCGACAAAACTGCTGCCCGCAACTCTCCTCAATGAGAAGCAGTGGAAGGAAGTGGGAAGACGGAACGTCACAAGGCATCATCTGTGTGCCACTGGACACACCGGCCCTCCTAGAAATCCTCACCAGCTTCCCAACTTGAGGCACTGCCTGCACCCCCTGCCCTGGCCGTCCTCTTCACCCACACCCTGCTGGTGGGGGCCTCTCCTCTCAGGAGTCTGCGCTTGCTGTCCAGCTGGTTTGTGCCATCCTCCCCAAAGCAGGAAAAGGTGTGGAGTGCAGGACCTCCCTTCAAGCTACCCCAGCACCACAAACGTTCTCCATCTCCCTGAGACATGGCAGCCCCGTGGTCTGGACCTCTTTCATGTCAAGGCAGCCTGGGGATCACTCCACACCCTAACCCAAGAGCAGGTTCTCACAGGTCACTCCAGAACAAAGCCTGGGACACATGTAGGGTCAGACCCCATAGGTCTGCAGCCCAAAGTTCAGGAGCCATGTGATGAGGACACATGAAAGGAGTATTTTAAGAGCAAGCTCTCAGGACAAGTGCTTCCTGGGGAGGAGTGAGGACAGAAGCAGGGTGTGAGAGCCCTATTTCCTCCTCCACTTTTTCCTAAACTAGAAACCCATGACTGTGAGGATTAGGACTTCAGGACCACACCCAGGGAACACTAGGTTGGTACCCATTTGGGACACTGTGATGAAAACATTTCCAATTAATAATTAAATAAGGAAGCAGAAGAGAATGAAGACCAAAGATTACCCTCCAACTTCTTTCTCTGGCATCAGGACAGTAGGGATGAAGGAAGCAGGTTCATAAAAGATGATCAAGTCCCCCTGTAGACTTGGGCACAGGAAGGCACTGTCAGACCTGTCGCCTGGGGGAGTGGCTGTGGTGAGCTTCCCCTGCCCCGGAACCACAGGGACTGTGGCAGAAGCAGCACAGTCCTGTGAAGCACATGAGTCCCTGTCACCAAGTATGAGAGGTGGTCACGCCCAACCCAGAATGGGACTATAGGCATGGGAAGCATCTGTGCTTTGTATGAAGGATGAAACAGTGAAAATTATGATTGTCACATTTACTAAGAATCAACCCCTCCCAAAACCATGGCTTTTGTGAGGCTGCCTGGAGTGGCCTCAAGGAGGGCAAAGGTGCCGGACCATGCTGGCCCAGGGAAGGGGACAGAGCCCAGAGGCTGCACTTCAGCAGTGGACTCTAGAGACACAAAGACACATGGGCAGTAAGCAGGAATGAATGGCACTGTCTTTCCGAGCCCCTTAAAGAGACCAGAAAGCAAGGCCATGTCAGGTAAATTCCATGTAGAAAACAGCGGCTAGCATTTGGCCTGACAGAGCCTCGGTGAATCCCTGTCTGGACTGACCAGTTAGAAAGCCTGGCTGGTTGTGGCTGCAGGAAAATGGAGGCCCGGGATGAAAAACAGATTATAGGCCAATTCTACGCTGTTTATTCTGTGACTGAGGCAACCAACTCACAAATTCTTATCAAAAAGGCAGAAACTGAGGGCTGGCCAGTGGCTCACTCGGGAGAGTGCGGTGCTGATAACACCAAGGCCATGGGTTTGGATCCTACATAGGGATGGCCGGTTTGCTCACTGTCTGAGCGTGGTGCTGACAACACCAAGCCAAGAGTTAAGATCCCCTTACCAGTCATCTTTAAAAAAAAAAAAAAAAAGAGGCAGAAACTGGAAAAAGCAAAAGAGAGGCAGCCTCCAAAGATTTGATGCTGAGGTGTGGCAAGGGTCAAATCCCGTGCAGGAGCAAGAAGGTGAGGGGAAACTGTCCAGCCAGAGGGGCTCGTTCCAGAATCTTCTCATGCTTCCTGGTGGGTCTAATAAACATATTTGAAGCTCGTCAGTGCCTTGGCATGGAGCTTCAGTCCGGTACAATTCCACCACGCTCAGAGTAAGCACTAAGAGCTGCTTGCTTTCTCCAGATCAAACAGAAAACTTAATCTGGATGTGGTTTGGTCTTCAAGCTGTCTCCTGAGAGCCAGAAGTCTGACATATAGAGCCTTTTTCCTGGTATTGAGTCTTCAATGGCCAGAGTTCTGATGAGACTGAAAGACGATAAGGGCCCTTTATAAGCAACAATTCAGCGAGCCACTATTATTATAAAGAACTCCCAGCTTTACGTTCCCCCCAAGGACCATGGAATGGAATAAGCAGACAATGGATGAGACCCACTGGGTAATGTGTGGGAGGATTCCTGTACTCCAGTGTGGCATAGGGCAAGATCCAGATGTGTTTTGATGCAAAAGGAAAGTCCGAGTGAACCAAAGAAAAATCTCAGCCCAAGAAGCTGGGATTGAGTTCTATCTGACATGATTCATGGCCTAATCTGAAAATAAAGTTTTCTTTGCCTTGAACATGACCTATCAGTAGAGAAAGCCAACTAATGAGAGCCACTAGCAACCAGCCAGGGTTTTCTCTGTGGAGAACTCAAGGAAGCAAGCCCTGGTGGCTCAGAGCTGTCACCAGGTGGTGTGACGGTGGTGCTCCTGGGACTTCGGACGAAACTGGGCACTCCTAAAACTACGAGCCCTGAGACTACAGACTGCATGTGTGTATGTTACATGCATGGCCTTCAGCACTGTGTTGGTGCATATATAAACTGCCCCCAGGCCCCCACATCCTGGCTCTCTCATGGAACTTAACAACCCATCTTGAGGCTCCCTGCTGTAATGCTTCACCTCTCATTTGCCAATTTGGGGATTGCTCACATTTCTCAGGGTTACAGCCTTGCCCAAGGTCCACAGGAATCAAGAAGCCAAGTTCCAAAGACACAGGCCAGCATCTGGGCTCACCAGGCCTCAGAGACAAACATCTGGAATGGCCACAGGCGGAAGGTGAAGCCCCCTCAGAACACTTCATGAGCAGGGGCACAGAATAGCCTGTGCGCTCTTGAAGAGTGGCTGTCATCACAAAGGCTCTGTGATCTACTTGATGTTTGCTACTTCATTTGAAAACCCACCAACTCTTTGGCTGGAAAGTCCTATGCAAGCTGTGTTTTTCAGCAAAAGATGCTGGGAGACACTGGGGTGGACCCACATGAAGACAATCTGTTCTCAGAGAGCTGAGGACAGAGAACTGAGACTACCATTTCCTGTACTCTCGAAGGCTAAAGGCACCATAAATCACAATACTGGACCCAGGAAAATTTCCAGGAGCTGCTCTGCTCAAAAAAAAAAAAGAAATAAAAGCAACCACCTCCTAGCTCTTGCTCCGTCAGCCCTTATGCATTCTTGTGTGAGGGCTGCACTCCCAGTGCACTGTGGTGCAAGTGCCTCCTGGTGGGAATCTTTCTTGTGGCTTCTGAGTACATCTCGCTACCCCAGAACCACTTCTGCGCCATGAACGACTGCCCTTTCCCCCACAGACATGGTAAAGACAATTTCTTCTTTTTCCATCACACACTGATTCCTCCAAAACATTAAAATGGGACTCCAACTTAACCCTGGCTGAACACCACCTCTTCCTGAGTTTCCCCTAGCGTCTGGTGGCCATACTTGAATTTAAATGGTTTCCTTAAAAACAGGGCACTGGTGTGTGAAAGAAGTAATCACTAAGGTCTGGGGTAAGGTTTGGCATCGTGCTACCCTGGAAGGCTGCCTTGTGCTCAGAATGGTGGAGCTGGGTCCCTTCTTTTCTTGTTAAGAGTCCTTTTTCCCCTGTCATGAGAATAAGGGTCTTTTGTCATTAGATACCTAGAACATGGAGTTTTCAATCCTGAATGTAGCATGATGTTTTACCTTTCCCAATTTATCAAACTTCAAAAACCCAAGACATTTCTTGTTCTTGAGAGTTCACAATCTTCTGCACCTATAATCTTCAAAAGCCTTCTTAATACAAAGATAAAGGGCTCAGGGGGTTCCCTCTGGATTCAAAGGAAGAGTCTTTTCTTCTTCCTGCTTTGATTGAAGACAAGCAGTTCACTGCCTAACCACAGTCCAAACACAATCAGTCTTGCAAAACAATCTGTGTTAGACCACTCCTCTTCCTATATATCAGAGGAAGCCTGAGCTTCTTGGGTTTCTTAGACACTGAATTCGAATGCCCAAATTCAGGGAAAGGAGAAAGAAAAATGGAAGGAGGGAGAAGGGGTTGAATCTGATTTGGAAGTTTCTGCCCCACTCCTCAGTTCCTCCTGTGACCCCTTGTGTCTCTCTCAGGAAACAGGATTAGCTTCTTGCTATGGGTATATATTCCCCCAATTAGAAAAGTCTAAATGTAAAAGGGGGGCTGGCCGGTTAGCTCAGTTGGCTAGAGCACAGTGTTATAACACCAAGGTCAAGGGTTCGGATCCATGTACCAGCCAGCTGCTAAAAAAAAAGTAAATAGGATCTTAATCTTTCCTGACTTTTCAGCAGCAGGAATTAAAGGGAGTTGAAGAAATCCTTGTCATCTTTTACATTATCATCAGCTGCTTGTGATTATCTAGAGAATGAATTTGAGGAATCGGAAGGGAAGTGGACAGTCTGGGTTGGGCCCCCTGGGCAGTGAGAGTGCTGGGAGATATGGACTTACCCCTGCCAGTTCTCGTGGAAAAGGAGGAAGCTGGGCTTCAGGAGCGGGAAGCGGAGGAGTGCTGGCTGAAGCACTAGCGGGGGCAGGAGGTTCTAGGGCATGCTCACCAGCTGACTCGGGGTGACCCATGCCATGGTGGGGGGCCTCAGCCTCCCCCCGAGGCTCCTCTCCCGAATCCGACAAGCCTTTTTGCTCTGCAGAGGACTGGGAGCAAAAAAGACAATTTTCCTTCAATATCAATGAAGGCTGCATCAAGGAGCAGGGGCAGGCAGGGGTACAGGCAGGGGTCAGAGGGCTAGAGATGGCTCCACCTTTAGCACTCCCCTGGGAGGATGGGCCAAAAAAAGCAGGCAGGTGCTATTGTGTTCAGTTCAATGCAACTGGCCCTCCTGACTGACAGAAGGGAAAATGAAAGTGGACTTGTTGCTGTTTGACTTTGTAAGGAGCTATGAGGTATGCGGGAAGTCCAGACCCTTGTTTTCAAAACTACAGGGCGGCCCAACATGGAGCTATTCTGCTTATGGGCCTCCAGTTAGGAAAAACCCTCTTGGTAACCAAGGAACAGGGACGACTATGCTAAAGACTCTTTAACCCCGTATGTGCTAACAACACACCTCCTCAAAAATGCTGACCAGGCGAGCTGGCTATCAGTACCACTTCTGTGCACTAGGAAAGGCGGAAGGGGGCCTGGAACACCCTGCAGTTAGGTATAAAGAGGGCAGTCCAGGACCAAATCCTTCTGCATCTTGCTGCAGTTCATCCAGCATCTCTGTTTGTTCTGCTCACACCTGAGATAAGTGAAGTGCTTTCTTGTCTCAGCGAGTGCAGGTGCAGGGGTTGACAGGGACACTGAGAGCTGGTCTTTCTATCACTGGCAGGTGGATGGGAGCTCAGCTGAAGTGGGGGAGGGGGGCTGGGCATGTCAACAGAGCCCCTTGGCCTAGGATTCTCCCAGGCTGACCCCAAACACCCTAGGCAAGGCTTATATGGAAAACAGCTAAGGTAAGAGAAAGCTAGTTCTGGAAGTCTTGTCCCAAATAGTATAACCCCACTAGTGTCCTTTAAGGTGATTCCTGGGATAGTGGAGGGGCTTCTGTGGGCTGAGAGCTCTGTGGCCACAGCTCCAAGACTCTTTTCTTGAGTTATATACCTGGAGTTCTGAAACAGATGGGGCTCTGGTCCCCAAATCTCACGCTGGGCACTGTCCAACAACACGCAACCCTTTCTCTCACCCGGTAACCTAATGACTACAGGGCTACCCAGTCTCCCTGTAGACACAGTTGCGTTTCTTCTGAGTGTGAAGTGACCGACCTCTTTAGACAGGGCTTGGGTGCTACTTTTTAAGGTGTGATCCTGTAGGACAAAAGGAACTACATAAAGAGGATTTAAAAGAACTTTCAAAATTTTTAGGAAAGCAAAAGCAACATCATGTTATCTCATCCTTACATCAAAAAGTCACCAAAAGGATACCATCAATTCTTTCTGTCTGGGGGAGACCCAGTGACACAAAGGCCTTCCTAGGCTGCTTTTCAAACCTGCACGGGGCACTGTGGTCAGTCCAGCCCCTAGCGTCTGCTGCTACTTTATGGCTAGAGACTCAACACCTCATAAGAGAAAATTAAACCCAGAGTTCCATGGCTCTCTAATTAGAACCACTTGAACTTTTTTTTTTCCCAACCCCTGATTTTTGGAATGTAAATGTTCAAACACCCTCATAGCAGACTCAAAACACAGGCCTAAATAGCAGGACCAAAAAGAAATTCATAAAGATGAAAACCAAGGGACCAAAACAAGATCAAATTCTTCATCTTTCGTTGAAATGAATGACTCTTACAGGGGTTGAGAAACGTCACATCACTTTGCAGATTTAGAAAATTTCTTGGAAGAATTAACAAATGTCATTCCAGCATTTTCTACTTGGGTCCCAGTGTTTCTCCTGGGCAAGGAAAGTAAGCTCTAAAGAACTAAGATAAGGCCTGTAGTTTTTTCAATGCACTTGGTAAAATCAGATAAGACTTTGCCAGCCTTTGAAATCTTCCTAAAATATACACGGCTGACAAAAAACATGTGCACACAGAGTAAGCTTGTCATACCAGGGGTAAGCTTCAAAATTAGGTCTAAAGATCCCATGACAGTGTTTTCAGTGACATGGTACTTTCTGCTAAACAGCATTTCTGTAATTGCCTTCTGTATTTTTACCAAATGAGCATTATCCTGCCAGTGTAACCTCAAAGCCTCCCCACTTCAGGTTAACAAATGCTCCAAAGAGAGAGTACCTGAAAGCAACATTTAGTCATTACAAATAAAGAAACAACCCCCCATAAGGATATTTAAATTTTCTTCACATTAAAAATAAAGAACTCTGGGCCGGCCCGGTGGCGCACTGGATAGTGCGCCGCTTGGGAAGCGCGGCGGCGCTCCCGTCCGAGGGTTCGGATCCCACATACA